TAGAGTGAACTAACTAACTGATTATCAAACGTATAAAGAATATTATTTAAGACACCTCAAAACAATTGTTAATATTTTAATTTAAAAGCGAATTATAACTCTTTAAAATAGCCAATATAGGTATAACAATTTTAAAACGGCCGCATATGTTACTTTAAAATTAAAATAATTATCAAACACCGATAAAGTGTCCTATATTCTTACTTTCAAATTTACTGATGGTACACTCTTTCTTATATTTTTGAACTTACAAACACAAATTACTTTACTGAACGTAAATTGTTTGATCGTGAGTTATTAGAAGGAGAAAATAAATATAGCGTGCAGCACTAACATCCTATTTATTCAAGCTTGTTTCTTGGTTGGTGATTAATGACAATAATTTAAAATATTTCTAAAAAAATAACAGACATTATAATAATTATAATAATAGATACAAAACTATTATATATAGGAATTGTATATTATCTGTAGCCTATAGCCGGGCTATAGGTATACAATATGTATAATGAAAACACTTGGCTATAAAATAAGTTCAAAACTTTAGGTAGGTATAATTGCAATTAAAAATGGGTTATTATTATATATTTGGCACGGAAGATTAAGCACAATATGTGATATAGTAGGAACCTAAATGTTTAAAAAAATACGAACTCAAAAAAAGTTAATCTGTCTGGATAATAAACACATTGAAATACATCATATTATATTATATTATTACACCTATGACCTATGTCTTATATATATTTTTCCAAATACTTGATAAGTGATGGATGGTCTACGAGATTATTAATTTATTATTTTAAACTATTATTACAGTAGTTATAACTGGAAACTTATCAAAAAAAAAAAACGCGAGACTCGCTGAATACAATAATATTCATGTACAAGGAACGAGCAGCAAAATTAGCAGACATTGTTGTTTAAATRTGGCACGCGCATTGACGTCGGCGATGGATTTTTATTCTTCATTTACTCATAGGTACTATTATAATGTGTAACAGTCTACGCGTCACCGTAAACAAATGTAGGGTAGTTACCTATATAATATAATAGGTACCTGGTTACCATAGACTTGTATGTTAATTAGTACTTACGATAAATTATTGATGTCATAGTAACTTATCGGCTGTTCGATTGGAAGCGGTGACCAAAATGACATGTGAWGCGARCAAGGACCGCGACGAACTACCACTATTTCTTTCTGGGTTTTTTTTCGATTTTTACAATACTGAACTAAAAAAAAAAAATACTCGACGACAGTTTAATATCGGCCAAGACGTCTCCTTTGGCTTATGCATAAATTGTTCCCATGGATACGAAAAAAACGATTGTTTGCCGCACGTAAAAATGTGTTAACAACACCTTAAAGTAATCAAAATGTTAATCAATATAAGTTATTGAGATTCATAGTGTTTTGTAAAACGTTTCAAATTTCTAGAATTATCAGTTGCTTATTTAGAAATAAATTTAAAAAATAGGTATTGTACATTTTACCTTTGTTTTCGGTAATTTTTCACGGGCATGGACCAATTGCGCCTAAAACAAAATTTGTATTTTAAGGTCAATATACCAATTGTGCTGCATATATTTTAGGGTCATTGCACCAATATTGCGCCTCTAATATTTTACGGTTGGTATACCAATTGCGCTCTTTATATTTTACGGTCAATATACCTAATATACCTAATATACCTAATATACCTAATATACCTAATATACCAATTGCGCTTGTATTCAAAGTTGCCTGATATTTATTAATCAATTGATTACTGGCTTAAGTGACTGGTTATAATATAAATTATAACAGTATCGGGTATAATGGCTATAAGTTCCACCGACTTGGGCTTAGGGTCAACAAGCGGATTATAGGTCATGAGTTAAGTGCTCCTTGATTCATGGATGGTAACTAGTGCAAA